AGTGGGAGAGTCAGAAAGATGTACAAACATATAGAAAGCAGGTTGAAACTAACAGAGTTTTTGAGTTCCTAGCTGGTCTGAACTCTGAATATGACATTGTGAGACAATAGTTGTTGACAAGAGATAGTGTGACTTTATCACAAGCCTATTCCCTAGTGCATAGTGAAGAAACTAGGAGAAAGGTTATGTTATAGCAACAGCCCTCCGAATCAGCCTTGGTGGCAGTTAGACCTAAATCTGGGGGGGGGGGGATAATGAGAAGAAGGAAGTTAAGGACTTAGTATGTGAATACTGCAAGAAACCTAAACATACTAAGGACACCTGTTGGAAGTTGTACCCTCATCTAGTTCCAACAAAGGTCAGAAATAAGAAAGGGAATACTAATATGGCTGTCAACACTGATAGTACGACTTCATCAAGCACAAGAGGCACTCCTCTAGATACCCTAGCTGCAGTCCGAGTTGCTCTGACTCAGCTAGAAAATGAATTTAGTAATTCAGCTCAGCCGACATCATCTCAACAGCCTACTTTAGCCCTTGCTCATATAGGTACAAGAGCTATTGCTTGTCATGCTTCTGTCCCAGGTAATACTAGATCTTCTTGGGTAATGGATTTAGGTGCTTCAGATCATATGACTAGCATATCTACTTTATTTAGCACCTATTGTTTATCCTCTGGGAGAGACAAAGTTTCTATTGCTGATGGCTCTCTTGTACCAATTTCTGGCAAGGGAGACATCAGATTATCAGATGCCATCACCCTATCCTTAGCTTTGCATGTTCCCAAGCTTAGTGCTAACTTACTTTTAGTTAGTAGTATTACTAAAAATCAAAACTGTTCGGTAACTTTTTTCCCCGATCGGTGTATTTTTTAGGATCTGGAAATGAAGAAGGTGATTGGGATTGGCCGTGAGATGAATGGAGTCTACCTGCTAGAACATTCACAGGGGGAGCAGAGTGAAGAAGGGGAATTGTTTGTTTCTCAGTCTTGTAGTAAGATTATGCTTTGGCATAACCGCTTAGGTCATTTATCTTTTGGGTCTTTAAAGAGTCTTTTTCAAAACTTGTTTGAGTCAGTAGAAGTGTCTAGGTTAAAATGTGAAAGTTGTGAACTTGCAAAACATAGTAGATCATCTTATCCTTTAAGTAATAAAAGAAGCAACCTTCCTTTTGAGATTGTGCATACCAATGTTTGGGGGCCCTACCATACTCCCACCACAGGGGGTACAGATATTTCTTATTATTTGTTGATGACTATACCCGTTTTTCATGGGTCTATCTTATGCACTCTCGAGATGAGGTCCCCTCTCTGACCCAAGCTTTCCATCAGATGATCCTAACTCAATTTGAAACCAAGATCAAGATTCTTAGATCTGAGAATGCCAAGGAATACTTTGCAAAACCCTTGGCATCCTATCTCCTTGATCATGGGATCATTCATTAGAGCACCTGTCCTCACACACCTCAGCAAAACGGGGTTGCTGAGAGAAAAAACAAACATGTTTTAGAGGTAGCTAGAAGCATCATGCTCAACTCCAATGTTCCCTTATGCTTTTGGGGAGATGCAATCCATTACAGCCATATACCTCATTAACAGGGTTCCTTCACGGGTCCCAAACATGCAAACCCTGTTCAGTCTTCTATATCCAGATAAAGACCTATTTACAATTCCCCTCAAAACTTTTGGGTGTACTTGTTTTGTTCAAACCCTTGGACCTCATCGCTCCAAGTTTGATCCCAAAGCCACTAAGTGTATTTTCCTTGGGTATGCACAAAATTAAAAGGGATATTGCTGTTATGAGCTAGTTTCAGGAAAGTGCTTTGTGTCCATGGATGTCACCTTCTTTGAGGATATGCCCTACTATCATAAGGCTTCTCCTCAGGGGGAGAATAGCGAGGAAGGGATTTCAGTTTCAGCTCCAAAAGTTCCTTTACCTGTCCTGGTTACTGAGGGAGGGAGTTGCGAAGAAGGTTATCAAAAATGTTGGGAGTTGAGAGTGTATCACAGAAATTGGTGGAGGCAGGTTGATTCACCACCGAACCCCTTCTTTCTTTTCTCCTCTCTTCACTCTCTCTCTCTCTCTCTCTCTCTCTCTCTCTCTCTTCTTCTCTTCAAACCTGTAATACGGTTAACAGCTCTTCTTCTTCTTTCAAGTATATCCAAAATATATAATTATATTCTTAATGTATCATATTTTTTATTTTGGTTTTAATTTTTTATACTAATACTTATGATTTGAGGCCAAACAATGCATTTTTTTTTTAAATAATGGGCCAAGGCACCTTCGGCTCCTTGGAATGCATAGATCATGAAATACCCAAAATAAAAAAAGGGAAAATCTATGGTGCGGGAAAGACATGGTATGGGAAGAGTTTTGACCAATCAAAATCCACCCATGAATTTTGATAAATAACACCTGATTGGTTACCACGTTTATGATTCCAGTTGACTGATTAGAAGTTTTTCAGATATCATATCTTTCCCATATCATAGTCAAACCCTAAAAAAAATACACAATCTAACCACCAAGCAAAAAGTTACTGCCTTTGGAAGTTTATGTACAATTTAAGTATATGGCAATTTATATGCAGGGTTCAAATCTTGGAAACAACATGTGCAGGGATAAGGCTGTGTACATCCTCAGACCTGCATTGGCAGGAGCCTCATGCACTGGGCTGCCCTTTTTTAGTAATTTATATGCAGCTTTGGTAATCCTGGACCTTCAGATATAGGTGGAGTTTTCAGGTATAAAAATGGATACATCCTAGAGTTCTTTTTTGGATGTCTAGGATCAGGAAACTCAATTCTGTCAGAAACTTGGGTAGCATTCACAGGTTTAAGGAGAGCAAAAGCTAGGAAAATGAAAGAGATCAAAATTGAAGGGGTTTCAAAAACAGTCATTTGGTGGTTGAAGAAAGATCAAGAGGTAGCTTGGAATTATAGATTTGGGTTACAAAGCATTATAGAGGAATTGCAAACAAAAGTGATTTGGGTTCGAAGGGCTGTCAATGGTTTGGCAAATGAACTACCAAAGCAGGGCAGGGGGTATCAAGGGGCCAGTTGTAATGTGGCCAAGTTGGCTAGGGGCTAATGTATTCATGTATGGTGGTTAGTCGAGGCTAGCCCCTCTTCTGGGCTCTCTTCTCTATTGTACTCACTTTTTATATTAACTAATTGGAACTGTTATTCATAAAAAATGCATACAATAATTTTGTAACCCATGGCCTGCTGCCAATATTTGGAACTAGGTTGTATCATTATTTGGGTGCAGAGGTGGAACTTGCCCTCCGAAGTAAAGCTGCTGTTAGAAATGCTAGAATTTTTCAAGAAAAGGAAAGAAGCCTTGCTGAAGTCAAGGAATGCATAATGACAAGGACAACCTTTTGGTTGAAATCTTCATACTTGTTGGAGGATTACTCCTTTGATGATTTAAGGAGAAACTGGGCAGCAGTGGCTTCTACAGTCTCCACAAAGAACAAACCACAAGTAGACTGGAAACCCCACCGGAAGGAATGGTAAAATTGAATTTCGATGGTAGCTGTCAAGATAACCTAGGGCCATCGGGAATAGGAGGGTTTCTGAGAGTGAAAGACAGCAACATAATGTCTTTATTTTCAGGATCAGTAGGAGTTGGTGATTCTGCAAGGGCCAAGATACTAGTAGTGGTACAAGGCATACAACTGGCCAATCAACTTGGAGTGGAAAATTTGATAGTTGAGGGGGATTCCAAGGTAGTAGTGGGCTGGCTGACAAATCCAGAAACAACTTGTTGGGGTTACAGGAATCTGTTAAAGTGAACTGGCTGACAAGAAATATGACAGTCAATTTTCAGTGGGTTAGCAGATCACCAAATGCAATGGCTGATTCTCTGGCCAAACAGGGGGTATCAAGGGGAGATCTGTTTTGGGTTACCTTGTAATTGTGTTTTAGGCTTGTGTGTGTTTATTGTTTATGGTTCAGTCCTTGGGTGAGGTAACACCTTGTGCCTCCTCCTGGGTGATTGTACTCTCTTTATTTGAATTAATCAAATTTCTCTCATTTATCAAAAAAAAAAAGAAAATGTAACCCATGGCCTATTGACTGGGTTGATTAATTGACCATTCAACAACCTGGGTCGATGCTTTTTTGACCAAATCAACATTTTCTGACCAATTTTCGGATTTAAAATTTACCCAGACCGGAAATTCCCTTTGGGTGATGGTTTGAACGGTTTGACCATTGGGTCGATGGTGGGTTGAAAACATTGGTAGAAAGTATCAGTCAAAATCTTGCCCTTAGTTGACTGCATATCCACAGGCCCAGCCAATGTTTTGTAAGGTGTGACAAGGCAGGTGTTTGGAAGCAAACCTTTGGGGAGTCCGGGCAAGGTGCCCCCAAAACGTCCTGAGTCGCATGGCAGAGGCATTGATGTCTCTGTGACATACATCTCAAAAGACTCTTGCATGAGGTGTACACTTCATGCACCTTATGCACACTTCATACAAAAAGAAAGAAAAGAAAGAAATAAATGAAAGGGAAAGAAAAAGTAAGAAAGAAAGAAAGAGTGAAAAAGAAAAGAAAAGGAAAGGGAATGGAAGGGTAGGGAAAGGATGTTTGGGTCGGGGGCTCCACCCTCGGATCCCTTGCATCTTTATTCCTCTTAGTACAAGAAACCTTTCATAAAAAAGAAACAAGAAAACAAGATGGGATCCTTCTTCTTCCTTCTTCTATACCTCCTCTTAAGGGGGATCATGTCCTTTTTTGTGCTCAAGAGCCTCACACCTCTAGGTAGTGGAATGCCTTGTATCATGCCTCCACATTTTATAAAACATTGGTTCCAGCTGTCCTTGGAGTTATTTGAAAAATATTGTAAACTAAACTTTCATCTTATGATAACTTATTTTTATTTTGTTTTATTATCTACACAATATCTTTTGCATGGTTATGATTTAATAAATTTCATTTTCTTCTTGTTTTATATGTGGCGTTTATGTTCCCCTTTCTTTTGTCTTGATGAATAGCCAATTTGTTGTCCTTGTGGGACACGACGTCGTGTGCCTTCTTCATGTGGGAGCTTTTGTAAGTGCTTAATCTTTGGTTGTTCAATATTCTCAAATTTTCTTACCAGGGTAGTTATTGATGAGTTTTCTTTTTTTGCTTAGTTGGTAAACTGATGAAAGGAAAAGCCAACACTGCACATTGTCTTCGGTTTCCAGGTGATTGGTATGGTTATTATTTCTCTTTTTTTTTCTTATACTTCATTTTTGCTTGGCTATACTATGTTAATTGTTAAATATCCTTCTTTATAATATGCAGATGCAATTATTCAATTATTTCATCTTCTATATATACTAACGGGGTGCCCCTGCATTGCAGGGGCTGATAAGAATACAAGAACACATTAAATAGGCAATTTTATTCATATAGGTAGATTTAAAGTTAGTTGCTTGGGTAAATGAAGCAAATTGATTTAGTGCAATTTAATTAGTTATTTTAGTTAATTTAACTTAATTGATTATTAATTTAATTAATCTGATTAAATACTTAAATTACATTAATTACTCAAATTTTAAGACAAATAATTTAACAATTACAATTAATAACTACTTTAAAGTAATTAATAGTCTTAAAAAATTCATTTAAGTGAAATTAAGTAACTTAACATATGATATGCACTAAGACATTTTACCAAGTGTATACTGTTAGAGGGGTTGGGGGGAGGGAGGGAGTAGATGAATTCTTGGACAGAGAACAAGAGTGAGAGGAGAGAGAATTTTTAAAATATTAGTTTGCTTTTGTTCCACGGAATTCAATTGTGACGTTAAAGAGATGTAGATGAAAAGGCCCGATTTGGCCTAAAAATTCTAGGCTTGGTCCTAAGTTTTATGTCTAGACTTGGTTTGGGCCTGGCCCTGCAGATTTTTAGTCCAAGTTCACATTAGGCTCACAAATTTCCAAGTCAAGCTTGGCCCCAACCAACAAGCCCAACCTAACTCAAAAATTCAAGGCTTGGACCTAGGTTTTAGTGTGCATTAGGCCCACAAGTTTCCAAGTTGTGTTTGTTTCCAATACTTCAATCCCAACACGGGGCTTTCCTAGATGAAACATAATTAGAAGACTTAATTAATTAATTAAAAACATTTATACCTTGCAAATAATATTAAAAGTTCATCCAATACTTCAATCCCAACTTGGGGCTTGCCTAAATGAAACAAAATTAGAAGACTTAAATAATTAATTATATTGAATAATTGAAAAAATATCTTGTAAATAATATTAAAAGTTCATGGAGAGTGGTTGAAGGTAAATGAAAATTTGAAAACGAAGATAAATAAAAAAGTTGTAGAAACTAGGGTTTCAAGAGATGAAGAAGAAGGGGAAGAAGAGAGTAAGTGTCGAGAGGTGTGTCTTTCACTGTTCACACCCTCAAAAGAATACATTATTGTTGAGATAATTTAGTTATTTTTGTTAGGGTCTGTTTGGCTAGTTAAAGCCTTTTTTTTATTTTCTGTTATTGTACTTCACTTACAGCAGGAGCACAGGAGTCTTTTCCCTTCTTATTTCTGTCGCCCTATATAATATAATAGAAGTTGGCGCCGCCAGCACTGTTCCATTGCTCCAAACCTTTTCTTCTTCCTTTCTTTCTTCTCTTCTCTCTTCTTCCCTTCTCTTCTCTCCTTCCTCATTTTTCAATTGGATTTATTGCCAAGATGACCTGTTTTTTTTCGTCTTTATCTGGGTGGAACAGAGGATTGAATCTAGGCTGATCAAATCAGATCTGCAACTGGTACAACCCCAAAGTTTTTTTTCTTCTTTTATTTCTTTCCTTGGTCGTGTACCAAGTGGAGAACAAATGAATCCAAACCGCTGAATGTCGGCAGACTTTTGTGAGTGTTATACCTCTTTTGTTTGTTGGATCGTGTGATCTTGTACCTGTGAAAAGGTGACTGTAGGTCACAGATGACCTGTTTTCTCTGCTCGTTAGTCTGATTTAATGGGTGTTAGGATCTCTCTTATTGATTAATTCTGTGGAACTTACTGGAAAACCAGTAGGCTGGGACTGTTCTTCATGCAGATCTGAAAATCGGTCTCATCATAGTTCTTCTTTGGAAATTGGTGCTGTTTTTATTGTGCTCAGATTAAGTCCAGAACTGAATTTTTGTGTGTGGAGCTTTTGTCGATATAAGGAGGGATCCTCAGTTGAGAGTTAGATAAAAAAAATTGTGTTTACCATGTCGTCTGAGATTTCTGCTACTTCAGAGATTTCAGGGAGCCACAATGGAGTGAGTGGGGGAATGGATATGAATTTTTCCATAGCTGTTATTCCCTTTAATGGTCTGAACTACCTTGAATGGTCTAGGGGAATAAAACTCTACATCACTGCTAGGGGGAAAATAGGATACATCAATGGGAGAGTGAAGGAACCGAAGAACGGAAGTGCTGTATATGATAGGTGGAATCAAGAGAATAGTATGGTGATGTCATGTCTCTTGGTTTCCATGCTGCCACAGGTAAGGAAGAC